ACCACACCCACCATCCTCCTCGGTGACATCGTACCTCCGGTCACAATATAAACACTGAAAACCATTACACCACTTACTGTGGTTGAAGGCTCGAGAAATGGGAGCTTGGCGGGGTTGATTTCGGCTTAACTGCGATCTGCATTACTCTGCTGGTTGGTGTGCATTTTTCGACCTTCAACTATTCTGTTCACTGCCCGAGCGTATACATACTGTATATTTTTTGCCTGTGACAATCTTGGTGCTTTCAGAGTATTGTGAACCGCAGGTGAAAGGTACAAAGCTGTAATTGTAGAATTACTAATTGAATTGTTCTGTCAATCTGAAAATTCATGTTATTAGCCTCTTGATAAATTTTAACATGTTGGAAATGTAATTTGTTTGATTAATCCATGCTTCTATCGCTGCGTTGTCGGTTGTCTGGATAAAACTTGTGTGTCGCCATCGATTTACATGATGTTTTTATCGAAATCAAAGTAGGTCAAAATACTAAATTCTTTTACGATGGAAAAGCAGCTTAAGAAACCTAGGAAGACATCTCTTACATTTTAATTAGTTGACTGGTTATGGTGAAAATTATGGATAATAATTGGGTTACTAGTGAATAGTCATTAAACAGTTGTGAATTTGAAAATAGACTTCCTGAAGGGCTCTAAAAATTTATAAATGGATGCTGTCCTTTTAAGTATTACATTTTGTTCTATTTTAGCTGTATGTCGACTGAATACCTTTTGAATGAAATGTTGAAGGAGAGAAAGTTGAACCAACTTATTTTGATTGCATTCTCAACTGTTGTTGTACGTAACCGGGGATTAATTCATCCCAATCGGTGTTTACACATGTATTTGATGTACGATAATGGACGAGGCTAATTTTCATGTAAATTTCTATATATATATATATATATATATATAATAAATTGCATGAACTTAGATCAATCAAATAATTATTCGCCCTAATTAATTTGCTCATTTAGATTGTATTCAGGTGGAATAATGATATATAAAGTGGAAGGGAGAAATTTTTTTACAAAAAATGGGATTCCTGCAAAATGGATTAATTATTGATTCGAAGAGGGAAGTGTGTGTGTGTGTGTATATATATATATATGGTTTGGGTGTTTTGGGACTACTTCGAGCAGATAAAGATAAGTAATGGAGAAGTATATTTGCAATTGATTTATTTCACATGCTACACAATTTGGGGTTTATTTATATAATGGTTTGTACAATTGATTTATGTACTTGTTTTCCATCTAAGGATATGAGAGGAAGGAATGCTGGAATTTGTCACAGCTGCAGAAGCAATGGGCAATTTTTTAGTGAATGCTCGAGAAAACGTCATTGCCCGGGGTGTGCACATGGATTTCAAAAATGTTTCGATGTTGAAAGGAAGACGTGCAACAAAGGGCAATTATTCAACACATGCAGTCATAAATGTGGATTTTTTGAATGGGTCGAACTAGGAGAGTCAAGCCGAGAATAGAGTACCATTAACGAAGCGCTTAGTGTTGCAGCAAATGAGGAAGTCGAAGATTTGCCAAGAATGTTAGATACGCTTATTCCAATATCCGACGAACGAGACTTAGAGATTAACCTGAACATTACTTTCTGCAAGGGAAAAGGAAGTTCGGAAGGAAACGAGAAAGCAAAGGAGGCCACTTGATTAGTTGTTTTGTGTTAAATATGTTAATTGAATTATGTTTGTACCATAACCCTCAAATGACGTAACTATGTATGTTCCATCGGAAAATGGGTATAATGCAATTTAGGTTTATGTGTATTCATTACTTATTGCCACTTTATTGTCTCATCATGTGTCATACCCACGATGATTTTTCCAAATTTTCGTATGATGAAAATAAAAACATAAAAACATTGCGAACTAACTAAAAAAAATTTAGATTTGTATCATTTTCTACATTATAGCTGTATATAGCAACAAATTGGTTTTTCGTAGTTACGTTATTCATATGTTCAAATACCGCAAAATAAACAGTAAGTGGCTCCAAAATACTCCAAAGAACATGCTACATTTTATTTTATTTATGCCAACGTACTTAAAAAACAAAAACAAAGCTCATTGGCTCTATATGACGACTACAAATTCATCTGCCAATCCAATGTTTAAGAAACTACACATGCAATGCAATAAGAACAAAAACATGCTTGTATACTCAGCCACTCAAGTCCTGCAGGTGTAGAGCAGCATATTGAATTGCTATGTTCATTAGTGATGGACGACTGCAAAAATAAGCAGGGAAGAATGCATTTCCTTATTTAAAATACAATATCTGACCAATATATGCATCCCTGCTACGTTTACAATATATACATCTCTCCATTCACGAGGCTTAGCTTCTCCTTCTGATTAACCCTTCCAAATTGCAAATTACTAATTATTCTGTGAGTCGGTTATAAAATAAACAAACACGTTAGGCGAGAAACCAGTTGCAATATCATACGTATAAAAAGATATAGCCACCTCTTAATATACACATTAAATTGGTATGAAATGGACAAAGCACATAGTTACATTATATTTTCAACCTATCTTCATAGCCAAAAGCAAAAATGTATATTAACTAAATATATTATAGCAAAAAGAAGAAAATATCCCTCACAGTAAGGCATTTATTCTATAGCAATATGGAAGGAAGTTACTGCAAATGAAATGAAATAAAGAATCTCAATGTAAGAAGAAGTAAACTTTCTTCAAATGTTATTCAAATTAAAAACCAGGAATCCCAAATTTGAGAAAACTTACAATACGAACGGCCTACCTTGTTAATGTCAGAACTGCAGTCCACCAATTTATCACTTCGGGTCATTTTGATGCGGTAAATGCGGATGGAAATATGAAAACGAATGACATATCGTAATTTGAACAATATGGAAATAAGTAACCAAACACAATACAAATGTGTTTAATACAATGAGAATTTAAATATTGTATTCATCTTTAGCATTGAGATCAACATTCATTAACGATGGCGAGATCCAATTCGATGACGACACAAGTCTTCTGTAAATACTTGACTTTGGGTATCGCCTTGCATCACACAACAACGTCAATAAAAGTGCAACCTAGTAATCAAAACAAACAGAAGGTGCTAACGAATAAGAGTTGTAATATAAGAAAGGTGTCTATGTGGAATATTGTTGTTCAGAAGCCACAATTTTAGGAACTGCCTCTTCTATATTTTTTTGTCTAGCTCTCAGTCTCTTTCCTTTATTTGATGTCGAAGTTGCCTGCATATAAACCCGAATCTCATGAGAAACTAGATTTGGATTGTACTAGAAATGAGATGCTAACATACTACATCACCCCTGATTTCTTTGACGTAGACTCCAATGGACTTTTTTTTTCAAAGTTTTCATGGTGTACCTTTCTGTTTTGTTAATTTCGAATCTCGTATGCCCTGCAACCGGTAGTTTGCACATCAGTACATGGTGAGGCTAAATTAAGAGTATGCTGCGAAATGATATTATTTCCGATACACAACGTCGTTGACATAAGCTCCGTAGCTTGAGATTTTATCTAGTCCGTTATAGCATGTGTTCGGACTTCATCATCTGTAGCGAGGTCAGCCACTTGCGAAAAGGCCTTACAGATCTCGTCATATCTCAATTATCCAGGAGTACTAACCAAACAATCGTGGTGCACTACAACCCTCGTGTATGCTCTACCGACATCTCTCCTCCATCTCCATAGTGTGTACTTCTCAAGCAATCATGTGACATCGTTTCAAATCAATACCGCAATTGCATGTTTACAAATAATTCCACTGAACTCAAATAAGTGGCAACTGCAAATTATCTCACACCGTTCCATATAAAATGAGATGAAAAATGTATTTTCCTCCTGTGCCCGTGATACATCACATCCTCATGCACCTCATATGTCGTCCCGAACATCCCCCAGAAGCAGAAATGAGGTCACAGTAAACCTTTTCCTTAAACTCATCTTGCACTTCTTTGAACTTCGAAATGGTATAAACGGACTGAAAATGCTTCTCGATTTCATAATTTTTTGCAAAGGGCACCATTTATGAGTATGACCTGAAATCAGGCTGGATTCTTTCTCCACTTTACTTCTCAGTGCTATTTCATACTGTCCTCCTGTGCCCGTGATACATCACATCCTCATGCACCTCATATGTTGTCCCGAACATCCCCCAGAAGCAGAAATGAGGTCACAGTAAACCTTTTCCTTAAACTCATCTTGCACTTCTTTGAACTTCGAAATGGTATAAACGGACTGAAAATGCTTCTCGATTTCATAATTTGTTGCAAAGGGCACCATTTATGAGTATGACCTGAAATCAGGCTGGATTCTTTCTCCACTTTACTTCTCAGTGCTATTTCATACTGCTCTACAAATTGCTTCAACGAGGTCTTCGAATGCACATGTCCATCTAAGAACGCGTTTATACTCTTTCTTCGTTGAGTTGTGAACATCCCTGCCCAGAATGTGGTTTTTAAGAAGCGAGGAACCCAACAACCTCCATTATCATACAATCCTGACAACCAATCATTTTTATGCAAGTCATATATATCAATCATCTGTTGCTACCCTTCTTCAAATTCTTCAATAGTTTTTGAATCGTAAACTACATTATGCAAAGTCGAAAATTTCCCGCCCTTATCAACATGATACCTAAACTTCTCCGGTAACTTCTTTAAAATGTACCATAGACACCATCTATATCTCGTGCATGGGAAAACGATCCCAATTGTGTTCTGCATGGCCCAACCTTGATCAATAATTATTGCATTTAGAGCTTGTCCATGCATGTACTCAAGCCACGCCCTAAATAGCCAGACAAACATATTCGTGTCTTCATTAGCTAACAAACCACAACCAAACAATATTGACTAACCATGATGATTCACTCCAATGAAAGGGGCAAACGGCATGTCATACTTGTTATTAAGATAAGTGATATCAAATGTCACAACATCACCAAACTCTTTGTATGCTTGCCTACACCTATTATCCACTCAGAAAACATTCCTTAGCTGAGACTCGTCGTCTAAATCAATGCTGAAGTAAAATCTCGAGCACTTTGCTTGCATTTTCGAAAAGTAGGATTGTATTGTAGTTGCGTCTCCCTCTCCAAGTCGTAAACGTCTAACTTGTTTAATATAGTTTCTACAATCCTTCTCTATACACATCATGTTCTCATATCCACATACTTGTGCAACTGCGAAGTTGTAACTTTTATGTAACAAAATTCCTACCACATCATTCACTTCAAGTTTACGTTTCACATTTACATTCAACTCCCTATTGCATCGATGCAACCTAGATTTAGAAGGACTAGTTTCATGGTTGTGATCGAGGTGGACTATGTTAATTCTCCACCTTCCATGATTGTCTGAGGAGGCTGAGATTCTTGCTTTACAATCAGTTTGACTTATTGATTTAGGCTTTAAAGACCTACTCGCATTACCACCTCTTCTACCTTCACGATTGTATGTGAAAGTTACATATCTCAGAATGCCATCATCCCATTTTTTTGAGTTCCGTCTTCTAACAGGAAATCCTATATCATAAGCATATCTCTTGTATATCTCAAACATGTCTGTTTCGTTGTTGAACATCATACCCACCTCCGGAACAATTAGACCATTTTGTCCTAATGTTTCATCTTCAATCTTGTTCATATTATCTGCAACATTCTCATTATTAGACTCCACTAACAATACATCATTCACGTCTTCCATAATCTCTTCCACTACGACAAAATAAGTGGTAGCGCTCATCAAAACGTAAACCAGTTACATTGCACCATGCACAAAATAAGGGGTAAAATGAAAACAAGTGACAATTTCTTCACAACGACATTTAATGCATTATATTTGCCGATCAACGATGGAGGTCATAAATATAACTAATATTTAGAATTAATTATACCCCAACTATTCAGTCATATTGATTCTAACTGTCTTACGAACTGTCTAACTATTGATTAACCGACTTCATTTTAAAATTAGTTAATTATGCATTTCATTACCAATACATTCTAACAAGTTAGTGACCTATTGAAAATCATGTTTTCCAATACAACAGTACGATATTGATCTTAAAAAATCAACTTAAGCATAGAACATGCAATATAATGTTGTAAATCTCTAATGGAAATATCAATAGCTCTCACAGGTAAAAATGATTCAATGTAGAAAGAATATTAAATAATTTCTTAAACACAACTAAAAAACTTAATTATAAACCTAAAACTAAAAATGACAAGCATCAAAAGGATGTGCCAGAAGCTTTCATATAATTGCATGCTTCTAATATCCGACTTTTGTAATGAATATGCTAGCTGGAGGTCGCAGAGTTAACCTGAACCACAGACTAATGCAGACCACAGTTAAGCCGAAATTAACCCCACCGAGCTCCCATTTCTTGAGCCTTCAACTGTAGTAAGTGGTGTAATGGTTTTCGGTGTTTATATTGTGACCGAAGGTACGACGTCGCCGAGGAGGATGGTGGGTGTGGCGTCGGCTTTGACAGGGCTTTTGTGAGAACAAATTGGGGAAAATGTAGGCGTTCTTCAGGAGGTCGAGCAACAATGGTGTTCTCCGGTGCTTATATTGTGACCGGAGGTGCGGCGGATGGTGGGTGACGCGCTGACCGGGAGGGAGGTGTTTTGGGAAAGCTCAAATTGGGGGAAAATGAGTGAACGGGTTATTGATGTTCTGTTCTCCCTCGTTATGTTTTTTTTTCCATTTACTTGCTGTCCACGTCACCAATTTTGAATTGCCTGTAAAACACCTATGAAGAAGCCCTGTACTCCAAGCATTGTTCAAGAAAAGATAACTGATTTCTTTTCTTGGTTTCCTGTTTAAACTACAAACTTTTAAAAGGAAATTTGGAACGACAAATGAGACTTTAGCCTCTAGAGTTAGAAAATGAGAGGCCTATTTTTACCCAAAAAAAAAGATGTGTCAAGTCTTAGACGAATTCGGACTGTGGATTTTGATATAACCAAGGCCCCAAAAAAAAAAAAATATGTGTCAAGTCTTAGACGAATTCGGACTGTCGATTTTGATATGACCAAGGAAATGGTCAAATTGAAATTGAATGGAGCATTTTATTTTTGTATTTATCTGATAGTGTAATAAAAGAAGTTGGTAAAACTAAAATTGCGGCAGAATTGTGGAAAAATTTTGAAAGCCTCTACCAAACTAAAACAAGACCAAATAATAGTTATCCAAGGAAATAGTTTTCCAATATTGATCTTGAAGCAAATCTTGGTAGATTTAAGAAGCTATTGTTAGATCTTATCAACAGTGGTGAAACTATCTCTGGTGATCAACAATATATAGCCCTATTGAGTTCTCTGTTTGAAAAACATAAAGATATGAAAAATACTTGGAATATGGTGGGGAAAGCTTAAATGTTGATATAATTGTTTCCTTTTTGAGAAATAGAGATTTGATTCTAAATAGAGAAGAAAAGCTGGTGACAGAACATAATCAAATACGAACAAGATTGATTTAAGAGAAAATGAGGGGAAGGATAAAGAGAATTTAGAGGGTGGAAAATAATTTTTATTTAATATCTATGTGTAACTATTACATTGTATAAATTGCCCTTATATAAACTAGTCTAAAGAAAAGACAAGAAAATCTATTAAATCAAAACCCTATTTATGTTTATTAAATAAGCATCCAATTTGCAAAGTGAACAACTATTAAAATACTATAAATTTATTAAATAAAACATTCTACATTTCCTTAAGTAATTAACTAATTTGGAAAGTAAATTAAATAATATCTCCATTATATTCTCATCATTTCTCCTCGGTCAAAAGAACTGACGAGATAGGCTGCTCCTATATTCTTCAAAGAGGTCAATCTTTCATCGTGACTAAGAATCACTATGAAACTCTTGACAATAACATATGACTTAGCCCCTGTTTGTTATCGTTTAAAAATTTAAATTATTTTTTACAGGATATTCTCCAATAAATATTCACACAATAGAATAATCTATACATAAATCAATAAATTTTTGTTACTTATCAACCACACATTCTAAAAAATAATAATAACAAAAAATTCAATAACTCATTATTCCCAAATCACTTCTATCAAACAAGCCCTTGATTTATATCAAGGGAGCCGATCTTTCTTTTTGATTAAATACCAATAGCAAAACTCCAAAAAATAGCATATGGTGCAATTCATCCCCAAAACAACAATTGATCTTACATGAAGAGGAGTACAAGGGACTAGAATATTAGACTGCATGTAGAAATAAATGATTATAACTACGATGGCTAGAATATTCCCAATAAGGAACAATTTTACTATATTGAAAATATAAGCTTTCATTCAAGTGTGATGACACTCAAATAGATTATTTTCATTTGAAGGATCAAAAAACTTGGTTTAAAACATATTTAGAAAATCGGGCCAAAGAAATACGTAACAAAGTATAGAATCACCGTTCAAGTAATGGAGCCTATATTATGAATCAAAAGCAAGCTTATAAGTTTCATGATGTAAAATAATCTTTCTTTTAAACTCGACATGAAATTTAGGAAAATTGGCAACAAAGGTTGGAGCAAAAATAATATGACTATAACTATTAAGCCCCGATCAATATCGATAGGAAAAGTATGCAACCTAACGACATGGCAATCTGGGAAGTAACATTTGGTTAAGGTAAGGCCATTACAAGGTCAATGTGAAAGTGACACAAATGAGTAGAATTTTGGCACGAAGTGGAGAACATGTGGAATGTTTAGCTTAGGTGACAATGTTGTAAGCAATTCATCTAGTATATCATTGTTAAGTCTATAAATTACATGTGCGATCACGAGAGATGATACAATACCATGCTCAAAACTCTCACCCTTGGCCAATGCGTCTCCATTTGTAATGTCGTTATTCCACTTAATAGTGTCATTAGTCCATGTGCAAATGGAGGATATCACGCACTATAATCATCAAAATGAACCCCTAAATATTTTATAGATTGTGTCTTGACGGCGCTGTTCTAAAAGAGTCTCTCTCCCAAATTCTCTATAAAAGGAAAAACCTCATCTTTGTTCTTTTTCACACTATCCAAAAAGAGTATTTAATTTTGAAGAGTGATTGTCACTTTTTTATAAATGATTTACAAAAGCAAGCTAAAGAAAAAAAAAATTAGAGTCCAATCCTGGAGACCAGGCCCAAATTAAATATTCATCAAAGAATTTAACTTATAGAATAAAGCAGCCCAAATAAAATCCCATTTGCACCTTCAGCCGAACACGAGAGTTCTTGATAGTGGAAATTACATGGAGTCTTACGTTTGTTTAAAGATTGCATTTCAAAATCAGAATTATAGTTTATATATACAAAAATAAGATGATAATACAATATTTTAATATTAAATAATAATATTATAAAATTCAATTAATTATATATCCAAACTTCAAACCCCAATTTTTATTTCCTTCCTCCTCATCAATCCATTCTCTCTCTACTCTATTCTATCTCTTCTTCTCTTTATCTCATCATCGCTGCCAAACGCCTAGATGCCAGAGCAGCATTGCACAAGGCCGTGCATCGTCGTCGACAAGGCTTCTCTACACAAGATTGATGAGGCTTCTTTGCAGCAATGCCGCTCGTAAGGACGATGATGCCGCTGCGTAGAGAAATTGCTCGTCGAGGCGCCTCATGCATTGAGTGGTGATGCAGTGGTTTACATGTTTTTGCTATGGTTTTTGTTGGTGGAGATGGTTGTGGATCTGGTGGTAGTACTTGATTTGGCGATGGAGGTAGGTAGGTAGGTTTTTGTTGGATCGACGATGGATCTAGTGGGATGGATTTGATGGTGGCGTTGTTGGATCTGGTAGTTGTGGTGCCTTTGTTAGATATGGCAGTGAATTTGTTAGACCAACGATTGTGTTGACTTTTGTTGATACAAGCAGTGGTGGTTGTTATTGTTGATATATGTGGTGGTGGTGGTGGTGCTAGTGGTAGATTGGGGGTGGTGGGGTTGGGGTTGTGGAATGGCATGTTGGTGGTGGTGATGGTGGAGGCAAATGCGGCGGGCTATGTTGTAATTGAATCACTAGTGGTGGTAGAGTGGGTGGGGTTGGAAATGAGAAGTGTCTGTGATCAATTATTTGTTGATTATGACCAATAAATTAATTAATTTGTAATCAATAAATAATACGTGATCTAAAATATGTGATTTTGACTCACTATTACTAAGTTGTGATCGAGAAATTCCTTGTGACTGATTTATTTGATAATTTCACTAAATAAGTTATAACTTATAAAATTTGTGATTGATGAATAAATTGTGACTTATAAAATTTTTGATTCATGATCGAGAATAATTTGTGACTTATAAATTTTGTGATATGTGTTAGAGATATAATTTGTGACCTATAAAATTTTGTTATGTGACTCAAAAATAATTTTAACCAATTTATTCGATAATTTGTGATAAAATTGTATAGATTTGTGACTTTAATATATTTAATTAATAAAATATTTTTTCAATTAATAATTTCATAAATAGAAATTAATAATATCTGACTTTTAAAATTTTAAAGCTTATTTCTTAGTTTTGAAATGGGTTAAAATCTTATATTTGAATTTTTTTCCTTCTTGATAACACTTGTAGTCATAGAAACTCGCCGTCCCAAAAAACCACATACACGTTTCGATCACCACAGATTATGCTGGTTGATCTTCCATCACCCAGAGGAAACCCC